GGGTCCATCATGGGCATAGCCAGCCCGCCAAGCAACACACGCACGAGAGCTGCCAACGCTCACCGAGAAGGTACGAAACAGTGGGACAGGTCTGCTAGCTAAGCGTGCAGAAACCCTGCTAGGAAAACCCAACACCCCTTCTCACCTCACGGCGAAGCTGAGAGGTGGACAATCATGCAGCGCCGGGCTATCCAGATCTACGCCTTTCGTGGCTTTTCAACCGGTTTTCTTGCGGCTTCGTGGCTCTTGCGTTGAATCTTGATGTCCTGCGTCTCATCCACGTTCCTTCCCGCAGATCACACTTCTCATCATGGCCGCGCGCCGACACTTGAGTGATCTGACCAGCGACCTCGACGACATTTGCGCTTACGAAGCACAGCGCCAACGAGCTGTTAGCGCCCTCATCCGTCGCATCCGAGCGCACCCCTACCGCACCCGCTTCGTCCTCCCCCTGCACGCTTCCGAGCCCACCCCACCCCGCCTCCGCACCCGCGAACTCCCTCGCTACCCGCACATCCTCGACGACCCTCGCGTGGTAGCGGCCTTCGTACAGCAGATCCGCTAGACGCGCGCGTCCGTCGAGTGCATCGAGAGAAGAGAGCGCTCACGGGAGGTCATCGACCTCGAGTCTCCCAGTGAGAGCGGGGACGAGGCACCCGCACCGGCACCGCAACCTCGAGGTCGAATCGTTCTCCGCCCACCTCCTCCCCCTCCACCGGCACGACAACCCGTCCCCACTCTCACCCGACGTGCACCAAACGCACCGAACGCACCGATCGCCCGCCCGGACCTGGACGGCAAAAACGAGGACGAGGTCAAGAGGCCCTTCGTGCCGCGGTCCTATACCAACCACAACTGATGGCATCGAGGGAGACGTCACGTCTGAGGGAGGATTTTTGTGAGGGCCACAAGGAGCCCAGGCACCCCACGCGCAGGGACGGGTCTATGCCGCAGGCCTCGCCTTCTGCCGACACGATATACAAACCCAATGAACAACGCTCATTGACTGCGAACAAATGCATGCCGCACACTGCAAACAAGCGTGAGACATGCATCATGATACATACATTCACAAAATCCAGATCCAGCCAGCCACCTCACAGCCCGGAGCGGGGCGGGTGTGTGGCCTATATGGCCCGCGGCTGACGAAGTCCTCGGGAAACGCGCTGGCCCTCCGTGGCCCTCTGGCGGCCGCCGCGCGTTGTGCACGACTCGCCACTTGAAACGCGTTGTGCTTCATCAGCTCGACGGACAGGAGCTGGCTCCAATGGTTGATGATGCTCTCTCGGAAAGCTGTGTCCTCCTCCGTGGGAATGGACGTAGGGCGGTGCTTCCGCTTGGCGAGCATCTTGAGAAAATCCATGGTCTTCTCTCCCCACCTGCCGAATGTCTCCGCCGCAAGAGGCACAAAGCGGAAGCCGGCAGCTTGGGCGGTTGGTCCATACTTGTCGATCTTGTCTTTCTCCGCAAGCTGAGCCATCTTGCCACGCGCACTGCGCCGGTTGACTGTCCGGTGGAAGGGGATGGGGGAGTCATCAGGCCGGCAGGGATGGGCGATGGTGACGTCGAGCAGGTAATCACTGCCGTCGATCACGCAGTAGATGTCCATACGCTGGCTGTTGGGGTTGTCGTCGGATGGGGTGATGCCGAGGCTGTGCAGAGGCACCTCCATATTGGAAGGAACATCTGCCTCAGCCAGGATGCGAACAAACAAGTTGCGCATATTATTGTGTCTCGTGACCCGCTCACGGCCGGTGTGACACACGTAGAAGTTATCGCCAAACTTGTCAACCTCCCCGCCGCAGATGCATCGCTGCGTGACGGTTGCGTGCGGGAGGGCGATGCTGAGACACCCGGCGACGGCATGACGATGCTAGCAGACCTTGACTGTTATTTCGTGCCGCTTTTTCTCGGTGAACGTTGGCAGCACTTGCTTGCGTTGCTTGGCGGGCTGGCTATGCCCACGATGGACCCTTGCGTTTGGCGCTTTGCGTGAAAGCTCCTGTTCGGCAGAGATTGATTCTTCTGACCACGGTGTGTATGTGGCAGCACACAGCAACTTCGACATCATGAGCGCGTCAAGGGAATGCAGCCAAGGGCAGAAACGAAGAGCAGCCGTGTCAGATGAACGTGTAAGGACAAGAGAAGCGACCCAGTGCATCGCTCTGCGTATGCTGATGTTTTGGGCCCCTGAGCAGGCATCGGGGATACAAGAAAACAACAAAAATAGTCGATGGCAAGAAAGCATGAGGGATCTCCATCGATCCCGAGGGAGCACGCTGGATTTCTTCTGAAAAGCAGAAGGGGGGGCCTAAACCCTAAACGACAGGGCCCGCTGAGTGAATGCCAGCATTGTGGCTGTGGCCCCGTCGTTGGTCGACGACTCAGCGCAGGATCGAGAAAATACGGGTTTTCAAACCCCCATGGGAGTTTCTCCTGATTCCATTCTGCCATTTCTGCGTCATCAATTTGCCCTCCCTTTGGAGTTTTTTTCTGTCTTCGCTTAGCCGCCTCAAGCTCTCTTCCGCCCTGTAGGGCGCATCTCATGATGTCTCTCCCTCTTACTGAGCCAGAACAGGGGCTCCCCCGAAGCAACGTGTACCCACTTGTCCGAGTCCTGGAGACCTGAGAGAGTGCTTGAGTCCTTTTTTGCCATTGGCTTGTGAATTCCGCCGATGAAGACGGATACCTCCGATACTACTTGTAGGCCTTTTTCTAAGTACAAGTGTTCTAATCAATCATATTCACATTGCCTGGCTGCCTGACTTCATGCCTATCCTATTGTCTCTCCCGCGATGCATATGTATGTGTGTCCAGAGATGGGCGTTTGCGTGGCCACGCCGACGAAGAGCCGCCTAGTCGGCCTTGGAATGGGTTCAACTTGGAGCAAATGGATAGTGCAAAAAATGACGATGTGCGGGTGTACAACCGTCGGCTCACCACCGCAGGTGACTCTGCCACCGTCTTGTCAGGTGACTCTGCAACCGTCTTGTCTTGATGATGTGTGCGTCTACGATTCGTGTAATCGCAGACATTCGAGACATCGCCGGACTTCCACAAGACACAACACCTTACTATTTGGCGGAAGAGAGATAGATCGTTCACCTTCGATACATACTAAGCCACGGAAAGAATATGCATGCAGGTATGTACATATGTTCATACATTCCTGCTCGCGTGTCCGTGTATGCAGGACTTGTGGTCCACCGAAATCCATCCTGGTAGTCCGAAACCAAACATGCACCCCGGATATAGCTATATCGCGTGAGTGAGGCTTTCATGTGTATATATCACTGATTCTTCAACGTCAGTCATTCTCCGGTTTTTCCTAGCCAATCAGGTCCAAGGGAACTGTGAGCTACTTCAAAGGAGAAAGTGAGGCTGTCTACTCTCTTATTTTGCGTGACCACGATGGAAAGGCCCGACCGAAGATGGTCACTTAACATAGGAATTAATCCATCCGAATACTGCGTGTTCACGTCGTTGTGTAGGTGAAAATGACCAACATTGACGGCAAGTGGAAAGGCGTCAAGGTAACCGAGGCCTTCGTAGAACATATCGCCGGCGATTCACAGAAGTATGCCGAGGACTACTGGTGAGCTGTGTGCCGATCTGATAAGAGAATGGTCTAGAGCAGGCAAGCAAACATCAACCGTCTTGCTGTATACATAAATACACGGTCTCTACCAGGATGAAGCCGGATGGGCACCATGAGATGCAAATGGCAAGGGAAAAGGACGGAGACATAGAATGGACAACACCCGTGTGTGTGTTGTGTTATGTGTCTGGATGGTTGGTGCTTCGACCCCATCCATGCAGGAGGTCGATAGAGGTACGGGAGGCCCTCCTTGATGAGTTGCTGGGAAACTTTCCTGAAGCCCCTTGTTTCCTTGATGTCATGGTGAACATAGATGGCTACATACATGTGGCCGGTGACATGGTGAGTGATACATGAAGGCGGCGTCCTATGAGTGCACAAAGGCAACGTAGACGGCATGGTTTCTGTGCTCGTGTAGGTGCAAGTTGGTCGTGCCGGCAACAACATTTCGCAAGAGTTTTGGCGCGATTTGGTGGAGGAGCATCACATTCACCACCAGAACTTCGAGAAGACAATGGGGACGCTCCACGGCAAGTTCTGCGGCAGCGAGGCGGACATATATCGACTGCAGCAAGTGGGCGTCTTCTTCGACGAATCCTCCAGCGGCAGGCAGGACAGACACGGAGCGATCAAGCCACTTGCACGTGCGTATAGATTTATGCCATCTGCATCCAGATATGTGCCTCGCTAAATTCTTGTGGAGCTTGACAAGATGTTCATTGACAATCTGATGACCACAGAACTTGGCAGGCTCTACAGACCAGAGAATATCTTTTACCTGACGAGGGCAGCGGCAACTGCTACGCCAGGGCCTACCACACATCTGGGCTCGACATCTGCGACGCAATGACGGAGGGAGTGAGCAAAAATAGCATAGAGGGAACGCTCGCGCACGTTGGCTTATCACATTTCAGGTGCGTCGGATGGTAGAGGGATGCGATTGTCTACAGGGTGTGCAGCTCGCTCACTCCCTTGCGGGCGGGACGGGGTCGGGGCTGACCACCCTCATGCTCAACTCCATGCAAGACTTCTTCAACAAGACCTCTGGGCTGCTGGGACCTGTCCTGCAAACATTCACCCTCTTCACCAGCGAGCTCGCATCAGACATACTCGTGGAGCCATACAATGCCGTACTGGGGCTCAAAGGTCTCGTTGAGTGCTGCGATCAGGTGCACACACACCTACACACGCGGCACGGCACACCCCTTTGTCTGCCTGTGCATGTGAACGAATTTTGATCGATTAGGTGTTTCCGTTTGACAACCATGCGTTGAGCAGCATATGCCAGCAGATACTGCAGATCAACGTGCCCCGCTTCCAGCACATGGATGACCTGGTCGCCCGCGTCATGAGCGGCATCACGTGTAACTTGAGGTTCCCAGGTATCGTCGACGCAGACCTCCGCAAAATGCACACCAACCTGGTGCCGTTCCCAAAGACACACTTTCTGATCACGTGTATGTCGGAGGGGAAGCGCATGCGTATCTCACATACAACATCCTTCCCGGTTTTTCGTGTGCGTGTCGGCGTAGGCACGGCTCCCCTGTCGTTGACGAAGACGGCTCCCTATCGCACGTACTCCATCTTGGAACTCACACAGCAGATGCTGCAGCCCGAGAACTGTGTCGTCAAGTGCGACACTCTCAGGCTCGACACAGGGGTCATATCGCACGCAATGAATGCAGCTCACACACAATAGGGGATCAGGAAGGCGCCGTCTTGTTTGTGTCCTCAGGAGCATTGGCGCACGTCTCGGTTCCTGCCATCGTTTGCGACCTTTCGCGGCAAGACGGAGTACCTGGCCACGTCCGAAATCAACGATGTGCTGCAAAGGATGCCACACACCACCGTGTACGACGCGCACTTCCCCGACTGGACCCCCACCTGCCTCAGCTCGTGTATATGCACGGTGCCGCCCGCCGGCAAGCAGTTCGATCAGTCAGTGACGTACATCACCAACTGCACGGCCTTCCATGAGGTGCTCGAACGCATAGGGGACGCGTGGGACAAACTGTACAAGGCCAAGGCGCACCTATACATATACGAGGCAGAAGGAATGGAGATCGAAGAGGTATACATACAACATGAGGACAGGGGGGGGGGGGAGGGATGGGTTGCACTGTTCATTTGTGCAGATGGGCTCGTGAGACGCTCAAGGATCTGTTGAGTCGGTACCGAGAATGGGGAGCCTTCCCTGACAAGGTGGAGAAAGACGAGGCCACCAAGGAGGATCAAATGCAGATACGCAAGTGGCTAGACGTGGTAAAAGAGGTCTTTATCCCGGGAGCATGTACGAATGAATGGATGCATGAGCGAACACCTCTCCAGCCTCACCAGGGCACAAGCTCTCCCTGTGTATGGTGTGCGGTGTGTGTCTACCATATGTCTGCAGCGTCAGCGGACATCTTCATGCGAGAACGATTCTGGACCAACGTTGTGGGCATGTCATTCGCTCTCAGGTATACACTAGATGGATCCAGCCTCTGCTGTACTTGCGCCTGTCTCCTCTGTTACATGTTCATCCATCAGTCCCTCGAGCATGCGCGCCCAGCTGCAGCGGCAGCGAAGGCCGGGCTACGGCAGCGGCACACGGATTCCAGACCGCAGAAGGGACCAGTTTGCGGACATCGATGCGTCTCTCGGTGGGAGTCGTGCAAAACCATACGGAGACATCAATGTCCCCCTGGAGCCGTACGAGAGCCTCGCTGTCAGCCAGAAGGGTGGACATCCTGGTCCATCATCCGCGCCCGATGGCGACTCACCATCGGGCGATTCACCCACAGAAAACCTCACAGGAAGTCCGATGGGGGCACACGCACAGTTGGAGAAGACAGTAAGATTCAAATAGTGAGGAGAGGTGGATTCAAATGGCAAGGGAGAGACGAGTTGAGCGAGGACGCGAGCTTGCGACGTGTGACGGGATATGTCATGTGGGTGTCTGTGTGAGAATGGAGACACCCATCCAAGAAGAAAACATTATTGAGGAAAGATCAACGGAATGTCGCATCAAACAAGTGCACCCCTGTACCGAAACATCCACATATTCAAATGCACATGTGCAGAGGTACATGTATGCATGCTCTTGCCTCTGTTTCGCTGCTTTCAACCGTCGCTCCGGCCGATGAACCCATTTCTGTGTCTTCACATATGCGGTCAGGCGGAGAGACGATCGTTGAGACTGGCTGTCTCGCTGCAGGGGTGGCCATGCAGCCTCAGGCGCTGGGAGTCTCCGCGGTCCCACCCGGCTCAGGCCAGCTGTGGAGCAGAGGTCGCTACGCCTTTCCATTCTGCTGACGTTGTGAGAAAAGCGTCAAGTGGGGTACGTAGGTGCATTCACCACACAGCTAACATGTCCAGCTCAACGCACTCAAATCCCAGCCAATATGTTTGACAAGCTGAACACGTTGAGGGGGCAACGCGTCTTCATACAGCCCAAGCCAACACGCACTGCGCTCAAATGAAAGTCAGCTGTTCCTAGGTATCCCTTATGACACGAAGATCCTCGATTTGCAGAACGCAAGAGAAGTCCTTTTACTTCCCCCACTTCCCACGTCTCAAACACTCGGAACGGCATAACGGCAGACGCCATATCTCTTTCGCAAGTGCATACTAGCCGTATGTACTCACTTCCAATACGAAAGTACAGGAAGAAATACAAGGGAAAGATGAGCAGGGGCGCGATGTAACCACGGTAAGATCCAGGGCGGAAACAGAAAGCTCAAAATATATACGGCCATCGCTAACAGAACGTGTGGACTTGGAGTGTGTGTATCTGGTGAATGTCTCGGTGTGCACACCTGCACATACACGCGTGAACTTGAATTGTGATGAATGTCTGTGTGCGCACACCTGCACATAAACGCGTGGACATACACGCGTGGACTTGGAGTGTGATGAATGTCTGTGTGCGCACACCTGCACATACACGCGTGAACTTGGACTGTGTGTATGTCATGAATGTCTCTGTGCGCGCATCTGCGCATGCACGTGTGGACTTGGAATGTGTGTATCTGATGAACGTCTCGGTGCGCACACCTGCGCAAGAAGGGAGTGTCTGTACCTGATGAATGTCTCTGTGCGCACACCTGCGCATACACGTGCGGACGGACTTGGAGCGTGTGTATGCTCTGTGCGCATACCTGCGCATGCACGCGTGGACTTGGAGTGGCTTGGAGTGTGTGTATCTGATGATGTCTCTGTGCGCGCATCTGCGCATCCACGCGTATACTTGGGGTGTGTGTATGTCATAAACGTCTCGGTGCGCACACCTGCGCATGCACGCGTGGACTTGGAGTGTGTGTATCTGATGAATGTCTTGGTGCGCACACCTGCGCATGAAGGGAGTGCCTGATGAATGTCTGTGTGCGCACACCTGCGTATGCACGCGTGGACTTGGACTATGTGCACACCTGCATATGCACGCGTGAAGTTGGACTATGTAAGCATGGCCAGCGCAACGACAGGGCGCACTGCCAGGCGCTGTCGTAGCTGGCTTTCAGTCGCCCAAGCAAAGAACACGAGAAGAGGAAGATGCTTCTCGAGCTGAGGAAAAGCGTTCTCATCCCTCACGACTTTCTTGAGTATGCCAAAGGGTTTTGAGAGAGTGAGTATGCCAAAGGGTTGTCTCTCTCAACTTACGCGTCTTCTAAGAAATGCACTTAATGGAGGGAAGAAGAATATTTAGTTAGCGAACTCATACAGCCCAAGTCAGCACACAATGTAGCACTCAAGATGGAAGTCAACTCTTCCTATTTGTCTCTTGCATCACCTGAGGATCATCGATTCCGGCGACTGCAGGAAAAGTCCTCTCCGAATCTGATCCTTCCACTTCCCAATCTGTAACCACCCTAGATAGCACAAAGCGGCATACAGTATATCTCTTCCATGATACGCTGGTGTGTGTATGATACGCGTGTGTGCTTACTTTCAATGCGGTTGGCCATGAGTGCATACCCGATTGACCAGATGGTTAGGGCGATAAAACCGCGGTACATCCAGGGTGGGAAAAGTAGCGTCACACTATACACAGCCTCCACTGAGAGAACAGATGCGAGATGGAGAGAGCAAATGTATTTTGCGCTGTGACTTATTACCGAGATAGAGCCATCGGTCGACGAACATCTTTCTGCGGAAGGCGTATGATTGTCGGAGGCTTTCAGTCAAGTGGACGAGAATATAGTGCTCATCTAGTGTGACCCCTTGTAACAAGGCACTCGAATCTCCCTTAGGCCTAAAGGCACAGACGAGTTTTTCCTGTTTGAAGCATTTTTTGGCTTGACCTTTCACGTGTAGAGCCATAGTTTCGAGCGAATGCCCCGTTCTCGCTTGCCTCAATCTTATCGAAAGCTTCCTCGAATTTTTCGCGAATAGCATCGAGCTTACTGCTGACTTCCTTGAAGCAGTAGGTCACGTGCTCTCGCTCAAAGAGCTGAACTAGTTTCTGATCGCCAATATCGTCCTGTAGATCAGCAAGTGGTATCTACAGAAACGGGTCTTTCATGATGTCTCTTGCTTACAAGGATGAGGAGGAAGTTGAAGGCATGGGAATTCAAGAGAGCTTGTGCAGGGTCCTTTTCGAGCCAAAGCACCATCGGTAAGACAATGAAAAGCACAACTGTTGTTGTACTCCAGTTGAGATTCATTCCATATTTGAATTGCCTCCACTTGGCATGAGAGAGGATGAAACGCATGCATTCGGATTCAGGACCAAAATTGATCTCCAATGGCCTCAACCATCGATGCATCGGATGCAGAAATCGCCGTGCGCATAGGTAATTGTAGTACGCTTGCTGCAGTAGGTCCTGTAAGGCAGACACATTGTATGAATGTCAGGATCCACAATCGTCTTCTTCCCTCTTTTTACTACCATGATTCCATGATTGTAATTGACCCAAAAGAGCAGGGCCGAGAGGAAGCGTGCCAAATACGCTACACTTCTCTAAAACAGGCCAGACATAGTCTCTCTGTCTGGGTCAAGTTCCTCGACGATCATGGAAAGCAGAAGGCCTGTGAGAAAAGAAAGGGGGCTTTACAGACAGATTGGCGTTTCTCGTGTACAATAGCTTGCTCACCTGTGAACACAATGAGAGGCGCAATCCACTGAACACACAGTATGGCCCTATAGATGAGCCAGTAGTGAAGCGGGTGTCCATTGACGAGAAGATTGAGGTGAATAGGACGCTGAGTGGCGCGCATCGTGGCCTCCTTCGATAACGAACCCTCATGTGGGAGTAAGCATAGCCAGCTGATCAGCCATGAGCAGCAAGTGGGGCCGTGTGGTGTGGAAGGCGCCAGAGCCACTGCACAGAAAGAGAGATATTTCAGGCAAAATCATCCAGCTTCAATGTGCTTACTGTATGTGTAGATGTCTTTTCTCGTCAGGATTGCTTCACGGACATAGTCCAACTCCTCGAGGAACTGATCTTTTGATACTTGGCTGTCCAGCCTGCTGAACTTCCGCTCGTTCGCAGGCGGATCTTCGTCCTGTTGTTGATCGACGAGCTGTTCGCTCAATTCTCGCCTCAAGATCTGCGTGAGCCCAACTGCAGCAGGGGAGCCAACTGCATGGTCTGCCTCCACCTGGGGAACCGTCAATCGTTCCTTCGTTATTGCATCTTCACCACTCTCCAGCTGATTGAGTCTTGGCACGTCCATGGGTTGCCTTCATTCTGTTCTTGATACTCTCCGGGTGCAGTCAAGGGGTCGAGACTTGAGGTCTTCACGACCCCAAATGCAGGGGATCCGCCGCAATCCTGCTCTGTAGCACTGCCAGCCTCCATCCGGGTGGAATGAACTGGTGGACGCGGTTGAGGGAGGAGCAAACAACCCACCCGAGTGCCGAAGCGATTTCAGACGCTGAGGTGGTGTTTTCGGTACGTCCTCTCCGAGAAACCTACCGAAACCGACGAGAAGCAGCCGTCAAGACAGATTCAACATTCTACTGCCAGTCCACCTAGCTCCAAAGGGCGTGAGAGAGCTTCACATGCGTTGGAGCATGGGGGCGCCGTGGGGGCCTCGACATCACTTGAAGCTCGCACTGGGTTTGCAGACACAAGATCACGGAAACCGAGCTCCAGAAGGCCATAGCCATCATTCCCCATCGATTCTACTGGCAACAAACAGTGCCATATACTTCTCGAACAACAGCGCCATATACTTTTCCATCGACCAGATACCTGAGGGGGAAGCAGTTGACGCGTAGCGCGAGCGGCCTCACGGCCTCACAGAAGTCCGATGTCCACACCCACGAACGAATCTGAGGCAAAGGAGCATCGACAGGCGAAAGGAAAGAGAGGGGCCTCAACAGAATAGCCCCTCTGAACATTTGTCCTGCTGCTCTTCCTTCCCCCGTTTCCAGCTTCTGTGTGCCGCCCTTGTATGGCCTCATTCTCTCCTCAGCGACACTTGCCGTTTGCAGCGCAGAATGGGAGCATCTCGATGTCTGCAAGGTTGTCCAGCTGCCGATTGATCGGCGTCACGATCCGCATCATTCTGAGAGTAATTGGGGTGGGTGTGGATGGATTCATGCATGGAGAAAGTGCTGAATGTCTGTGTCCACAAGGACCGCAAAGCGAGCAAATGACGCTCACACGGACTGTACACGGACTCCAACGTGCGACCAGCTAGACAAGTCTCGCTTCAACAACCTCTTCGACTCCCTCCCGCCTGATGGTCGGGCCCGCAGTCGCCTTCTGAGCTGCCGCGGGCCTCTCTCGTCTGGGTGGCTGTCGGCCATCCCGTCCAGTGAGCAGAAGGCGCTGAACAACTTCCAGTATCGCCACGCTGTTGCTGAGTGCCTCGGCATCGCCCTCCTGCACGCAACTGTCTCGCAGAAATGCATCTGCGGCGGTGACGTCGACAAGTTTGATGATCACTACTTCATCTGCAACACCGGACGTGAACGGAACTTGAGACACAACAACATGCGCAACCTGTTCGTTCGCATCCTGGCGGAGGCAGATGTCACCTCCAACATTGAGGTGTCCCTGCACAGCCTCGGCATCACCCCACCCGACGACAATCCCAACAGCCAGCGCATGGACATCTACTCTGTGATCGACGGCTATGACTATCTGCTCGATGTCACCATCACCCATCCCTGCCAACCCGACGACTCTCCCATTCCGTTCACCGAACGGTGAACCGGCGCGGCGTACAGCTGCCTGGCGGTAAGGCAGCGGCTCTCGCGGAGAAGGACAAGACCGACAAATATGGCTCTCCCGCCCGCGCAGCCGGCTTTCGGTTCGTCCCCCTTGCAGCGGAGACATTCGGCAGATGGGGAGAGAAGATGTTGGATTTCCTCAAGATGCTCTCCAAGCGGAGACCCCGTCCAGCCGCAATTCCCGCCACTAAGGACGGAGTCTTTCGCGAGAGCATCATCAACCATTGGAGCCAGCTCTTGTTGGTCGAGCTGATGAAGCACAACGCTTTCCAGGTGTCCAGCCGCGCGCAGCGAGCAGCAGCCGCCAGAGGGCCCCGAAGAGCCAGCGCCTTTCCAGAAGACTTCATCAGCCGCGGGCCTTGCAGGCCCCACACCGAGTTCGCTTCGGGGCTGTGAGCTGGCAGTCTGATGCTTGCCGTGTTCCCTTTGCTGCGTGTCTCCTGCGTAGCAATGTGTGTGTTTGGTGCTTGTCTGTGTGCGTGTTGTGGACATGCTGTGTGTCAGCGGGCTCGTCCGTTTGTGTTCAGTCTGTGAGTTTTGCCTCGATTTGATTTATTGTCTTGGACTGTTTGTGTGTGCCTGTGTGCCTTTGTCTTCGATTGCATTTGTGCGTTTTCGCTTCGTTCGTATCGACTGTGTGGTTTGGAAGTTTGTCTTTGGCTGATTGGCTTTGAGGCTTGGACGAACTTCGTCGCCATTTCATGCATTTACCTTCTCAAACGTTCTAATACCTTAAATGCTCTATTAAGTGAAGACATATAACGGGCGACGAAGTTCGTCTAAGCATCAATTCGTATCAAACAAACAAAGGGGGACACAACCCAATGAACAACGCTCATTGACTGCAAACAAATGCATGTCGCACACTGCAAACAAGCGCGAGGCATGCACCACAATAGACATACAGAAACACGCACATACACACCACATCCAGAACCAGCCAGCCACCTCACAGCCCCGAAGCGGGGTTGGTGTGTGGCCTATACGGCCCGCGGCTGATGAAGTATTCAGGAAACGCGCTGGCCCTCTGTGGCCCTCTGGCAGCTGCAGCGCGTTGTGCACGACTCGCCACTTGAAACGCGTTGTGCTTCATCAGCTCGACGGACAGGAGCTGGCTCCAATGGTTGATGACGCTCTCTCGGAAAGCTGCGTTCTCATCGGTGGGGATGGAGGTAGGGCGGGGCTTTCGTTTGGCGAGCATCTTGAGAAAGTCCATCGTTTTCTCTCCCCATCTGCCGAATGTCTCCGCGGCGAGAGGCACAAAGCAGAAGCCAGCTGCTTAGGCGCTTGGACCATACTTGTCGATCTTGTCTTTCTCCGCAAGCTGAGCTGTCTTGCCACCTGGAAGTTGTGCGCTGCGCCGATTGAGTGTCCTGTGAAAGGGGATGGGCGAATCGTCAGGGCGGCATGGGTGGGCGATGGTGACATCGAGCAAGTAATCACTGCCGTCGATCACACAGTAGATGTCTATCCGCTGGCTGTTGGGGTTGTCGTCGGGCGGGGTGATGCCGAGGCTGTGCAGAGGTACCTTCATATTGGAGGGCACATCTGCCTCAGCAAAGATGCGAATAAACAAGTTGCGCATATTGTTGTGTCTCGTGACCCGCTCACGGCCGGTGTGGCAGACGTAGTAGTGACCGCCAAACTTGTCAACCTCCCCACCGCAGATGCATCGCTGCGAGACTGTTGCGTGTGGGAGGGCAATGCCGAGACATCCGGCGACAGCATGACGATACTGGAAGTTGTTCAGCACCTTGGTGTCACTGGAAGGGATTGCAGACAACCGACCGGACGAGAGAGGCCCTTGGCAGCTCAAGAGACGGGCGCGGGCTCTGCCGTCGGGCGGGAGGGAGTTGAAGAGCTCGTTGAAGCGGAACTTGTGCAGCTGATCGGTCAGGCGCTGCTGCAGTCGGACCTGCGGCCTCGAGACAAGGTCCTCAAGGGAGGGGAGGGAAAAGGAGGGTGCGACCATCTCAGAGATGGCAGCGAGGGCGGGGACTGCAGCTTGAAGCCAGGGTAGATACAGAAGAGCAGCAGGCCCACCTTGAGGCATCCATGGTGCTCCTCGGAACCGGCTAGAGACGTCAGATGCCGTCACACCGATCGAGCCCAGAAAAGCTGCACGGGCAATCGTGGATGCAGAAACAAGGCCAAATCCTCCCAATCGAATGGGCAGCTGCACCTGTGCGGAAACCGAGTCGGGGAAGTCGCCGGGAAAGCGGAACATGCGCCTGAATGCCATGATAATGGCGGCGTCATGTCGCTCGGCGGCTGCCAGGGAGACGCCGGGTTTTGGAGGAAGGAGGCGCAGCCAATAGTTCAGCCGAGGGGATGCACAATAGCGGAGAAGAAGGCCCAAGCCCTGCAGTCCCTTCTGGGCAAAAGTCACGATTGCCTCGAGCAGCGGCTGGTGGCTGGTGGTGATCTTATCGAGGCTGTGCTGGATGAAAGAGTTGCCGCCAAGCGGGCAGCCGAGGACAGTGATGCCTTCAGTGGAGCACTCAACGCCGGAAGCGGCAATGTCCGCCGGGATGTCGGAGTCTTGTTGCCAGCAGCAGCTCCATGCAGCACTCTTGTCTCTCCGCAGCCTCAACTTCTTCTCGGACAGAAGCTGCTCAGCCCTGTCCACATACCCCGTCACACGTGTCTCGTCCAATCCACTATCGATGTCGTCCATAAACGCACTAACGAAGTCGTCGGGGAACTCCTCTTGCAGTTTGACGAGAGCGGGGTGGAGGCCCAGGCAGAAGAGTAAAGGGCCCGCCGTGTCGCCTTGTTGAGTGCCCTCCTGACTGAGGATGGTCTCTGTGCCTCCGTCCTTCATGCGATACCATAGTTCAGCCGGGGTGCCGTAGAACTGCCAGAAGAAATCGACAAAGGACGGCCACTTTGTGCCGAGTTCAAGGATCCTGACGGTCGATGCTGTTGAAGGCGTTCTTGCAGTCCAAAGTCACCAAAACCCATTTATCGGAGTCATCGCGGCGTGTCTCCATGTAGGTCTGATAGGCCCGGAAAATCTTTTCTCCGCCTGCCGACGTACCAACCGCAAACTGTAGAGGCGAGAAGTCCTCCTCAAAGGCCAACTTGTTCTCCATACAAACTGCCTTCGTCACCCATCTCCAAAGCACATCACCCACAGCAATCGGCCGGACACCACCGTTGTCTTTCATCAGAGCGAAAAGGCGGGCGGCCGAAAGAGTTGTAGTGCAGCTGTCCGGCATGTTACCAGCGAGCATCCGGCTGACAAGGGAGGGCAGGGGGACGGTCTCGTCTTCTGCCGAGGCGTCACCCTCTCCCATGCAGGCACGAAGATGCTCATACCGCCATCCCGTGGGGCCGGCTGCGGAACCTCGCGGCGTCGTCTTGAGGGCAGCCAGTAGAACTCTGGGCGGGACCGTGAGAGGGAGGGGCGGT